AATTGCAAGAAATGCAGTTTGAATTATTGCCAATTCTTGATTGAGTAACTTTTTTTTTTTTTTTTTTTAGACGGAATCTTTCTCTGTCGCCAGGCTGGAGTGCAGCGGCGCTATCTCGGCTCACTGCAACCTCTGCCTGCCAGGTTCAAGAGATTCTCTTGCCTCAGCCTCCCAAGTAGCTGGGACTACAGGCACGTGCCACCACACCCAGCTAATTTTTGTATTTTTAGTAGAGACGAGGTTTCATCATGTTGGCCAGGCTGGTCTCGATCTCTTGAGCTTGTGATCCAACCGCGTCAGCCTCCCAAAGTGCTGGGATTGCAGGCGTGAGTCACCGTGCCCGGCTGAGTAACTCTTTTCAGAAGCACACAGGTGTTTGAATATCTATGAATACCTATTAATTAACACTTAGCATCCTTTAATTTATATATTATTGTTAGTTCCTGCTTAGTTTTATCAAGCAATCTATTAAGGTAAGACCCCCTTTTTAAAAAAGATATGATAATTTCAAACACGTTAAATAAATTTTCCTGTTTTCCTTTATTCCAATAATAGATATCATTAGAGCATAACGAACTGCTTTGATCATTATAATGTATTCATCTCTTCTGTTTTGGCATTATGAAAATAAATATTTGAATTCTGTAGAATACATGTGATTAATGTCTTTGTTATTTTCACACAATGAGTTCATTATTTGTTCCATTCACTCTTTGTTCATGGAAATATAAAGGAATGATTCATATTGTGCTAAGATGTTAAAAATATAATAATTTGATTTCTTTTAAAATATAAGAAATTTGGCTAAATTATTATTTGACGGTGGCAATACATTTCAGAACTAATATGGATAATATGCAAAAACAAAAAGTAAAAAAAAAATCTTAAAGATGCAAACATTTGTAATACTAAATTTTATAACCAGGATAATCAATGGAGGAAACATAAAATGTATACATTAGAGTTTTTTGTTTATATAGTATAATTTCGCTCACCAAGAATCCATTCATTATTTATTCAGTAATTGATGTATCTTTATACACTATAGTTAAAACAGGCACAATGGATAATACCAACTTCTATAGCACAAGTTAAATACAATGGAAATTAAAAGCTACAAACTTCTCTTATGTTCATTCTTACTCATGAAAGAAGATTCCTAAGATTACTTACATTTAAGAAGCATAGAAGAATCTGAGAAGAGTGAAGCCAGAGTTTTTATAAAATGTATGTTCTTAAGCAACATCATGGCCACTTTCCAAGTTTTATTTTACTCATTAATGAGTGTGTATGTGTATGTGTCTGTGTTTTATAAAATTGTATTAGGAGGAGGGCAGGTTAATGTATCCAGCACCACAGTCAAGTTAGAATAAACCTTCATTAAAACAAGGATCCCTCCTGTTGCTCTATCAGAGATACACACTCCTCCCTTCCCTCCTCCTTCCCTAATGCTGAACACTCTAATATAGTCTCGTCTTAAAAATTTAGTCTTTTTGAAAATACTGTATAAATCATATCATATGTGTATAAGGAAAATAAATCTCGGGACCCTAAAATCACTAAGCAGTGAGAAAAGTCAAACTGAGAACTATGAAAGGCAAACCTGCTTCCCATTTTATTCCTAAACAAGATTGCTACAAAGGTAAGCTGTATACCTCCCTCACAATTTGCCCACAGGAAATTCCTTGTGGACAAAGGACAGATAGAACTCAGAGTCATCCCTCTGAGGCTCACCTGAGACAAATGCATATATGATTACTTCCTCCGCCTATTGTTTATGTAAAAATGCAGATTCATGGAGCCAGACTAAATTGTGTATTCAGTGGAAGACTGATCAATAACTCAAAAGAATGCCACCTTTACTTTCTTATCTACTTTTAACCTGGAAACTCCAACTTTGAGTTGTCCCCGCCTTTCTAGACCGAAACAATGTACATGTTATACATATTAACTGATGTCTCATGTCTCCCTAAAATGTATAATAGCAAACTGTACCACTGACCATCCTGGGCACATGCCATCAGGACCTCCTGAGGCTGTGTCACAGGCACATTCTTAACCTTGGCAAAATAAACTATCTAAATTGACTGAGATCTGTCTCAGATATTTTGTGTTAACATATGAAACCATTTAGAATTGCCTTTTTTACTTGGTTTAAATCTTAGAGATTCATCCAAGTTTTATTTTACATCAATGGTTTGTTTAATTCCTGAGTAATATCGTCTGGTATCAGTGTAGTGCATTTTCTTCAGTCATTAACTCATTGAAGGACATCTGTGTTGGTTCCAGTTTTGAGTTATAAACATTCATATACAGGTGTTTATGTGACCATGTCTTTCCCTTTTTCTGTGATAATATCAAAAGTTAAATTTGTAGATCTTGTGGTAGTTTCATGTTGAGGTTTTTAAAAAGAGTCAAACTGTTTTGCAGAGTGCAGTACCATTTAATATTCCCACTGGCAATGCTTGAATGATCTATTCTCTTCCTATCCTCTCCAAGATTTAATGGTTTCACTATTCTTTTTTTTTAAGCCATTCTGACAGTTGTGTAGTGTGTCAAATTACGCCTCAGTTGACAGATGTAATGAACTTCCTGTGGTTCAAATGTTGAGAGCAATACCAAGGGGCTGTGGCAAGGTGGGGGAGTAGCCACACTCTGTGTGTCCTTGGCAAATGTTGCAAAACGTATTTTTCTCCAACCAAGTCAGAAACAGTTCCAGAAAACAATGTCAAAAACAATTACAGCTGGAAATTTCCCAACTAACCACCAACAGACTACCTGCAAACAGCCAATTAAGAGAGACTGGTGGTTTGGCGTTTAAAGGTCTTCTAATCAAGACTCTATCACTCCCCTAACTCTCCCCCTCTTCTTTATGATCTCTAACTCTTCAACCTGCTCCTCCTCAGAGTACCCTTTCATTTTTACACTGAAGGCTTCTTGTCCTCAGTCTGCAATCTGAAGTTTGTTTTGGAAAATAGAGTTCTTCTTTTGCTTCCACGGATTTCATTGATCTTTTATTAACAAACGGTATTGAAATGGGAGCATCCCCTGACTCCCTCGCAAGACGTGCAATGGGGTGTGGCTCATCCGTTTGGCCACTGTGGGCTCCAACTCTTTATGTGAGAAAGAGCATGCAGATGGACAGGTGCAGGAGACAGGGCAAGTGCTTTTGGGCTCAGGCACCATGGTAGCATCTAGCGGGGGTGTCTGAGGTTCCCAGAGCCCCAGTGGGCATACTACAGTGCTCTTTTAACTCTGCCACCCGCAGATGGCTTAAGCGTTAATCATTTCAGTGCCCTCTTGGGACCTGGGTTCTTGTCTGGCGTCCAGGAAAAATCAGATCACACAGACAAATTGAAGGATCGTAAACACGGGGAATTTTACTGCCAGATAGAGGTGGCTCTCATTCGGATGAATGGGGAGCTGAAAAGGGGATGGACTAAGATGATCTTCCCCTGGAGCTCTGTCATCCCACAGCCATTGTTCCCTCTGACCATCCCCAGCTGAACTCCTCTTGATGTTCAGAAGCTCCTTCTCTGCCGTGCTGCTCTGCCACCCTTCTGTTCCTCTGCTCTTGTTTATCTGCCTATGGAGCCTGGGGTTTAGAGATTATATGGGTATAGGATAGGAGGGCGTGACAGGCCAAAAGGCAACATTTGGCACAGAAACAGGAATCCATGTTCCCATCTAGCGCCCTGGATTGCCAGACTTGGGAATGGGACCTTTGCCAGGGAACCGCCCTCTTCTACCTAATATCTCCCTGACTTCTCTCTGTGCCAGTATTTCAGTTTGGTTTTAATTCATGTTCCTTTAATGGTGAAGGATGTTATACATATTTTCATGTGCTTATTTGCCAATTGTGTATTCTCAGTGTATTATGCGTTTATATCTTTTTTCCATTTTTAACGGTAATGACTGTTTTTTCACTATTGAGTTTTGAAGTTTTTTATATATTGTATATATTAGTTCTTGTCAGATTTGGTAAATATTTTCTCTCAATTTTCACCTTGTCTTTTCATCTTACTTAGAGTATCTTTTGCAGAGCAAAAGTTGAAAGTTTTGATGAGGCTCAGCTCACCAATTTTTTTTTATTTTGTGAATTATACGTTTCATGTCAAGTTTAACAACTTCTTTCCTAACTTTGACCCAAAGATTATCTATTATTTCCTTTTTATAGTTTTGTATCTTACATTTAAGTCTGTGAACCATATTAAATTAATTTTTTGTGCAAGGTATAAAGTTTTTGCCAATGTTTGTTTTCTGGCCTATAGATATCTAATGCTATAGCATTTTTAGTTGAAAAGCTACTCTTCAACCACTAATTATTTTGCGCAGTGTCAAAAATCAGTTAGGCATGTTTGTATGAGTCTATTTTGGGGGATTTCCATTCTCTTTTATTGATATATTGTATCTTTCCCTCGTTAACACCACACAGTCTTAATTAATATAGCTATATAAGTATAGTAATACTGATGAGTAGCGATTCTTTTAACTTTTAGTCTCCTTTTTCAAAATTGTAGCTATTGTAATGCTTTTATACTTCCATAATGTTACAGAATGTTTCTGTCTTCTCAAAATTCAGGTATTAAAGCCCTAATTTCAAATATGGTGGTATTTGAAGGTGGAGGTTTTAAGAGATTTTGAGGTTTATATCAGGTCATGAGAGAGGAGCTCCAAGATGAGTAGCTCCTCATAAGAAGAAGAAAATAAATCAGAGCTCTTTCTTTCTCTGCCGTGTGATTATACAGTGAGAGGGCAGCCATCTGCAAGCCAGGAAGAAAGCCTGCTCTATCTGAATGTATGTCTTTCCAAAATTCATATGTTGGAACTTAAACCCCATGGTGATGGTATCAAAAGGTGGGGCTTTTGGGTGGTAATTAGGGCATAAGGGCCTAATTATTTGGTCATGAGGGCCTAATTATTTAATTTTTCATGGAATTAATAAAAAATGGAAAGAACTAACTAAGCCCTTTTGCCTTTCCTATTTCCATCATGTGAAGATGCAGTCATCATGTGTCATCTTGGAAGGAGAGAGTGAATCCTCACCAGACCCTGAATCTATTGATGCCTTGCTATTTGATGTCCCAGCTTCCAGAGTGTCAGAAATAAACTTCTATTATTTATAAATTACCCAGTGTGTGGTATTTTGGATAGCAGCACAAATAGACTAAAACAGAAATTGCTACTGAGAAGTGGGGTGTTGCTATAACAAATACTGAAATATGTGAAGGTGGCCTGGGGTCTGGGTAAATGTCAACTATTAGAAGGTGGAACATAAAGCACTATTCTGGTGTGAGCTTGGAAGAAGAGGAGAGCTGCAGAGAGAAACTTAATCTTCTTAAAAATAGTGTAAATGATCTTGAACAGAATGTTAGTCGAAATATGGACAGTAAAGGCCATTCTGATGAGATTTTAGATAGAAATGGGAAATACATTACTGAAAACTGAGAGAAAAGTCATTGTGGTTATAGAGTGGCTGAATTTTGTTCTTGACCTAGAGCTTTGTGGAAGGTAGAAGTAAAAATTGATGAACTAGGATATTTGGCAGAAGAAATCTCTAAGTAGTGTTCAGGGTGCTTCATAGCCTTGCTTGATTTTTTTTTTTTTTTTTTTTTGGTAGTAAAACAAATTAAGACAGAAACAAACTATGGTGGAATTTGTAATCAAAGGGGAAATAGTAAAGATTTGGAAAATTTCCAGCCTGGTCAGATGATAAAGGATAAAAACCTGTGTTCAGGAGCAAATACCAAAGGTGTGGCCGATCAAATGTTTGGTGAGATTAGTATGGCTATCAGGAAGCCAGATGCTATTCATCAAGACAGTGGAAGAATAATTTTCAGATGGCAATTCCATCACAGACCCAGAGTGCCAGTAATTTGCGGGCAGAATCTATTCAAAGGAGGGCCTCAGGGTGTCCATGGAAACTTGGGGCTCACTGCCCCATACCACCTCAATCTTCTGCCCCCTTAATTCCCATGCATCACTACTTGGCTACCCCAGCTGTGGTCAAATGGTTCCAGCCTCAACTTGGGCCATTGTCCATCCAGAAGTCACAAATGGTAACCTTTGGTAGCATCTGCATGGTGTTAATTCAGCAGGTGCACAGAGTGTAAGAGCTGTGGAGGCATGATTACCTTAATCTAGATTTCAAAGGAAGCCTTGGAGAGCCTCAGGACCCAGAGAACTGACACAGAGACACAGTCACTGTAAAGACTCCATCCACACTAGGGAAATGTCCAATGGAGGCATACAGTTTGGCTCACCAAAGAGAGTGCCCACTAGCACAATGACCAGCAAAGCCAAGGGGTTAGGGCCACCCTAGACAACCCCTACTAGTGAGGGAGAAGAAAAGGAAAAATTAGTTAGGTAGACAGCTAAGGCTAGTCCTCAGAGAGGCAGCCTGCCCAAAAAATCACAGCTACAGGCAACTACAGAACAGCCTGGGGAAAAGTCAGATTGCATCTGTGAGATAAGGATGCAAGGTCCAGCATAGAGGTCTTTTGTTCTTTGTGTGAGTAATAGTCTCCCAGAAAAAAATTTTCTCCCCTTTTCAAGAATGTACAGGGTGGGCTCTGTGGGAACTTGCAGAGGGAGGAGGTGGGGACTTCCCTAAAACAAACCCATAGTTATACAAACAAAAATTGCTTTGTGTGCCCACAACTAGTAGGTAAGGAGAATTATACAGACAACTTTACAGATAAGAGAAGTTACCCAAACAGCTACAGAGATGAAAGGAGTTTCCTATAAAAGTTTTTCAATTTGACTGTAAAAACATGGCAACCAACTCAGGCTCCCTTCTCTTCTGAGGAGAGCTTTTTTCTTTAGCTTATTAAACTTTTGCTCCAACCTCATCCTTTGCATCCACAATCCTTAATTTTCTTGGATGTGAGACAACAAAGCTTGGATAACACTTTAGCCATTGTGGCCATTGACCCTGACCTGTTTCACTAGAGCATACTTGATGAAGTCCTAGAGACAGAGTTGCCTCTGAGACACCAAAATAGTAGAGCCACCAGTGTTCAAAACCAGCCTGGCAGAGTCACAAGCACTTCAACCTCTGAAAGCTACTGTTCGGGTTATACCCAGTGAAGCCATGGAGGCAGGATCACCTAGGATCTCAGGGGCCCAAAACCTGTCTCAATGTGTCTGGAGGGTGAGACAGGGAGTCAAAGAAGATTTTTCTTCCACCTGAAGATTTAATGTTAGTTGCTTTGTTAGATTTTGGAGTTACTGGGGATCTATTACCCCTTTATTCTTTCCTGTTTCTCTGTTTTGGAATAGGGATGTCTATTCTATTCCTGTCCCCCCGGCCCCATCATATTTTGGAAGCACATAACTTTTTTGATTTCATAGACTCATAAATGGAGGGGAGAATTGCCTCAGGATGAATCATACCTTGAGTCTCACCCATATCTGATTTAGATGATATTAAGATAAAACTTCATAATTAGCCTTTAAAGTTGATGCTGGAATGAGTAAATAAATTTGGGGATATTGGAATAGAATGAATGTATGCTGTATGTGAAACAGTCACAGATTTTATGGGCCAGGGAACAACATATGTGTTCCTCCAAAATTTCTATGTTGGAACATAAACCACAAAGGGAACAAACAAGAACGCTTTGGCCTTCTACCTTCCACCATATGAGCACACAGCAAACAGGTACCATCTTTGAAGAATAGAGTGAGCCCTCATTAAATATTTAATGTGCCTGTGCCTTGATCTTGGACTTCCCAGCCTCCAGAACTGGATAAATAAATTTCTATTATTTGTAAATTACCCAGTTTCTGGTAACTTGTTATTACCATGAAGGAACCTAGTAGTGAATAAAAATGACTCTTGGGAGCAGAGATCTTTCTCACGTTTATTATCTTTTATTTATTGTTTTATTTTTATTTTTTCGAGACAGAGTCTCACTTTGTCACCCAGGTTGGAGTACAGTGGTAAGATCTCAGCACACTGCAACCTCTGCCACCCAGGTTCAAACAATTCTCATGCTTCATCCTCCCACTAGTTGGAATTACAGGTGAGCACCACCACACCCAGCTATTTTGTTTGTTTGTTTGTTTTTGGAGAGATGGGATTTCACCATGTTGGCCAGGCTAGTCTCGAACTCCTGGCCTCAAATGATCTGCCCGCCTTGGACTCCCAAATTGCTAGAATTACAGGTGTGAACCATGTGCCCAGCCATGTTTTTATCTTAGGCAGACAGTATTCAGTTTTTTATTATTACGATATTAGATGCAGGGTTTTTTAGAAGTTTCTTAACAAGTTAAGGATGTGCACCACTCTCTCTACTTTTCTGAGCATTTTTATCATAAATGTGTGTCAGATTTTGCTATTTTTTCTGTATCAATTTATATGATCATTTGTTTTTTCTTCTTAAGCCTGTTGATACTGTAGGTTACATAGATTTCCAAATATTAAAACACCTTTGAATATCTGCAATAAATTCCACGTGATGATGGTATACAATTCATTAAATAGATTGCTGGGTTTGATGTGCTGTTGTTAACTTGTTGAATTTTGAGTTTAAATTCATAGACAATATTAATTATTAGTGTTTTTAAAACTATATTTTCTAGTTTCAGTATCAGGGTAATTCTGATCTTATATAGAGTTTAAAAGTATTCCCTTCTTTTATATTTTTCTGGAAGATATATTGTAAAATTGGTGTTAATTAGTTTTAAGAAATCTATTAGATTATTGAGTGATTGGAGATTTTAAGCTATAAATTCAAATTCTTTAAGGTTAATAAGACTTCAGATTATGCATTTTATCTTCGTGTCACTTTGACTGTGATTATTGAGGAATGGATCTATACATTCTAAGCTGTTGAATTTATAAATGCAAGGTTTTTTTCTAGTATTGTAATATTACCCTTTAACGGCTGAGGGTCTCTATAATATACATTATCCACTTTCAGTTCTGATATTGGTGATTTGTTTCTTTACCCTTTTTATTTATTATTCTTTTGCTGAACATGTATCAATTTTATTGATCTTTTTGAGGAAACAAATTTATTTCACTGCTTTTCTCTGTTGTTTAACTGTTTCCAAATTCATTGATTTCAGTTCTTGTCTTTTTCATTTGTTTTTTCTGCTTGCTTTGAGAGCACTTTGCTTTCCTCATTTCTTGAGCTAGGGATTTCGATTATTTATGTTAGACATTTCTATTCTTAAGTGTTTTGTGTTATAAATTACCTTCTCAGCATAGTTCAGATGCATTGCTCATATGCTACATATTTTATTTAACTTTCATTCAGTTCTATGTGCTTTTATTTACTTAAAAGATTCCTTTTGTCTCTTTTTATTAATACATGTTTTATATAATTTCCAAGTAATTTGAGACATTCTTTTATCTTTCTGTAATTGATCACATCTGTTTGATTTTGTTATGGTCATAGAACATACTCTATGTGCACTCCATTATTTTAAATATGTTTATGTTTATTTTACAGGCTATAATTTAGAACCTATTGGTTGACTGGATTCAGATAATACTGTTGATTTTCTCTCTATCATGTCTATCAGTTGCTGAGAGAAGGACAATGATGCTCCCAATAATAACTGTGGAAAATCTATGCTCCTTTCAGCTTCATATATTTTGAGGCTCTGCTATTTGGAGCATATCTATTTAGAATTACTGTTTTTTGGTGAATTCACCCTTTTATAACAATGTGATGTCCATCTTTGCATCTAGTAATTTTACTTGCTCTTAGTCTACTTTATCTTGCATTATTATACCCATCCCTCCTTATATAAATTAATGTTTGCATTATAAATTCAAATTCTTTAAGGTTAATAAGACTTCAGATTATGCATTTTATCTTCGTGTCACTTTGACTGTGATTATTGAGGAATTATTTTATTTTACTTTCTTTATTATTATTACTATTACTATTATTATTATTATTATCATTTTGAGATAGAGTCTTGCTCTCCTAGACTGGAGCTTCATGGCATGATCTTGGCTCACTGCAACCTCCACCTCCCGAGTTCAAGCAATTTTCATTCCTCAGCCTCCCAACTAGCTAGGATTACAGGTGCACACCACCATGCCCAGCTAATTTTTGTGTTTTTAGTAGAGATGGGGTTTCTCCATGTTGGCCAGGCTGGTCTCAAACTCC